CAGCAGCTGGCTCTCTGGCCCAGCTCCCGTCCACCATGTAAAGACACAGTGTTCCTCTCTTCCAGAGGATGTAACTCTGAGGTCCATCTTGCAAGCAGAGAGCAGCCCTCACCAGACAACTGAACCTGCCAGGACCTGACCTTGGACTTCTCAGCCTCAATAATAGTGGAGATAAAGGTCTGTTCTGTATGAATGTTCCAGTCTCAGGTGTTCTGTTATGGCTGCACAAGTAGACTAGGACACGATTTGAAAGTCTGCAGGGTCAGCCTTTCTATGAGGTTCCCACTTCATGTCCCCAATCCTGAGCCAATGGCAGGTAATTTATCATTTTCTCTTTTTAAGTATTGCACAGAACTCACTCTAGGATATGTGTCTATCAACAAATCCAAACTTGATCTAAAACATTGCTTCATAACTCACCAAGCCACTGGCGCTGAAGCACCCCCTCCTCTCCCTTCCCAGTCCAGAGTCCCATGACCCACGTCCTCTGAATATGACATAGGATAAGGTTTTCCCCCAAATGAAGAACCAACTACTCCAAATTATTAAGATAGTGCCCATCCTTCCCTTCCATTACAAATGCCATTTCTTCATAAGTGAAATTTTGACATAAAAATGAATTTGTTTCAAGACTATTATGTTCTATTGGACTATTTATCCCTACATAAAGTTTATACTCAATTGAGATCCATAATAGGCTTGAAATCTCAGAAGACCATTTGCTCTGTAATTGTTTCCCTTTACTAAATTACCTAGTCTTACACATTCACTTATCAATAAGAACTTCAGAATCAGTCTGTTGCCACATTCATAAAAGTGCTGTTGGAATTCTGATCGTGATTGGCCTGAATTTATAGATCGTTTTCACAGAAATGATGTACGCATAGTATTAAGCCTGGAAACACTGCCTCTCTACGTGTAAGCTTTCATTCATGAATTTCAATAAAGTTTTATAGGTTTGGCCACAAATTCCCAAATCAATTCTTCTGTTGCCTCTTGGAGCACTTCTAAATCATTCCAAGATTCACAACTGTGCGTTCCTTCATGTACGTGTTTTTGCATTCTATCTTCCCGGAATTCCTTGAAATTCCTAGTTTATTGACAACACTTTCTTTCCTCATTTTCACATAATTGTGGATTCTAGAAGGAGGGAATATTGTGCTTTTAAAATATCTTTTCTGTCAAGTTGTAGGACTTGCTGCAGGGGAGAGTCTTGTCATATGTGCTTCATCTGCTTCTGGATCCCATCTCTCAGTTTACAAAGTGTATGTACATGACAGAGAAAAACAATTTGGAAATAGTTAGATACAAACAACTAAGGAGCCAGTTTAAGACTTAGATTGAGACTCATGTTTTTATGGAAGAGAATAAACTTTGTGTTAGTTGATGGAGATGAAATATCCTCATGCATTATCTCAACCATTACAGATAATCTTCAGTCTTAAAAAGTATATTGATGTTCACCAAAGGGAAAGAAATCAAGAATCACTGAAAATTTGTGCTGTTGGCCTTTTTTCATTGCTGTTTTCCATCAACATTTCACAGTGGTACTTTACCTCATGAGCTTAATTTGTATCATGATTCTGGAATAGATGGCCATGTTCATGTTTGTGCAGGAAAGATGGCCACAGTTGTGTTCATCACCTGATGCAATTTACAAACAAAAACAAAATTTTGCCAAATGTTTTTGTTTGCCAACCAAATTGTTCACAAACAAAAGCATTTGGGAACCAAAGTACCACTGTATTTTTTTTTTTTGAATTTCCAATTTTACAAGTCAATACTTACATACCACCCTCACAGAGTTTACCATTAAAGTTTTATTTTATTATTTAATAGATAATAATATCTATCCATTCCTCTACCCATCTACTACCTCAGCTTATTTTCTATGCATTTCAGAATGAGTTAGAGAAAAGATTCACTTTCTCCTAAGTACTTCAACATGGAGTTCAATAATTTAATTAACTCGAGTTCAATATGTGTTCACAGCTTTTGTTCTTTGGATGTAAATACAATAAGCACAGAGCTCTGAATTTTACACTGACCAAGTTAAGACAAATGCATACAAAGGTGAGACAAGGCAAGTCCTTAGGTAGGTAAAGAGTAATACCATCACCCAAGAAACTTCACCTAAGAAACATCCCCATGTCCCTTCCCTGTGAACCCTATCACCAGCTCCGCAGAGTCAACCACAGTTCTTTTTTTTTTCCACTACTGATTAGTTCTGTGTTTCAGAATTTCATTTAAATGGATCTCACAGAATACATGCTTTGTTGTTGTTGTTTGTAAGTTGTCTTTCACTGCACAAAATGCTTTTAAGATTCTTAGATGTTGTTGTGTACATCAGCAGTTTGGTCCTCTCTAGTGCTCCTTTGCTTTCTATTGCATGAATACACCCGAATTTATTTCTGCATTCTACTACTGTTGAGCACGGAGGCTATTTCCAGTTTTGGACTATTTGCACAAGCATAGGAGTATTGCTATTATTATTATTACTAGTAAGTACCTAGGAGTAAATTTGTCATGGGATACGTGTATGTTTAGTATTATAACAAAATCCTGTCCCCAAGGGGATGTACCATTTTTTATTCACACTTATCATCTATGATAGGCATGGCTACTCTACACTCTCATCAAAAATTTGGTGCAATTAGCCTTTTTTTATTTGCCTGTGACCATTACCGAGCCTCTTTTATTGAAGACAATCGTGTTTAAAAAGAATCTCTTTTTAGGAAAGTTGAACTCAGATACCAAGTTTGCTAAAAACTTTTTAGAAGTCAAATAGAAAGAG